ATTTAAATAAAATTTGTAATCTAATTTTGTAAATTTGGGAGTTTTTCAAATATGATGTTAAAACGGTTTTATGTCATTACAAGTGGGTTTTTTTTTATCATTATTTAGTATAGTGTGAGGACCAGAAATTTAGTGTTTTAAACTAAAATTTTTTTTTATAAACTTTATAAAGACGGAACGAGAAAACAGAAAATTAAAAGAGAAAAAGGAAAAATAAAATCAATAAAAACTCGATTTCCACGAATTGGGTTCCTTGTTGAGATGAGTACATTTCTGTGTCACAATTGTGCCACCCGTCCCCTCATTGGACCAAAAAGATCGTCATCGCTCACGAAATCGGAGAAAAGTTCGAAAAAGAGGACTTGATATAAAAGGGCCAGGCATGATGAGTAAGGGGGTGGAAGTTGTTATTGGTGTCTGTGTGTGCACGTCTACCTCCCGCCAAGATTCCGTCAACCAACACCTCCTTCTCAACTACAAGACTAGAAGACCTCAACGGAAATTTTTCTACTCACCTGCAAAGAACTGTTCACCTAAAAAGAACTGTTGGACCTTTTGTGCTGGACTTGATCTCTTATATAACCTAAGGTATTTATCCTGCGCGCACTATTGTACGCTCTCTCTCTCCACGTAAACAAAATGCGCACCCGGTCGTTAATTTGAACTAAAAATTAAATAATAACTGAACCCTACTCATGTAGTTTATGTTCGCATTTTATTCGCTGATGTAAACCTAATTTAGAATATATATAAATAAACGGTTTTTATGTTTAAAACTTCTGGAGTGCAGTTTCTTCCGTTTTTCTCTCAGTTTCTCCATTCCAGGTCCAATCCTCATACCTATCCGCTCGCGCGAACTTGTGGTCTCTGTATCGACCGAAGGATACAGTGGTGTCATCCTGATGGGGTATCGAAGAGATACCGACCCTATGGTCACAATAGTAAACACGTAGAACCGATAAAAATTTGATGTGTAGGGCAGAGGGTGCCACTGCGTGACCTTCGCTTTTTGACCTCACTTTGCTCCTAAACTCTAATGAGGAGAGACATCTTTTTACTTCATTTAGTTAACCGTTTGATCCAACACCCGTGCTGATCTTGGATTTATATTATATCTCGACACTATTGTAAATATTGCATAGCCAATCCAAATTAAGTAAATTATTTGCCTGGATCATTTCTCAGTTAATTTTTTTTGGCAGAACACGTGGTTGAGGTCAACGTGGACATTTTGGACAAGGTAGGATGTGCCACATACAGATTTTAGCCACACCACTAAAGACGTTATATTAGGGTTGTTGTTACATCCAATAACATTATTGTCGGGTTAAACTGTATATTGTTTGTGCAAAATAAAAAAAAAATAATTTCAGACGATACAATAGCCACGATTATTTTTTTCAAAAACAAGAAATTTTTGTTATGCATCAACAAATATTCAACCCTGGCCATCACTCAACAAAAAGAAATTTCGACATTGGATAGGGTATACCTGGATAAGTTAATTTCACCAAAAATGCATCGTGGCCAGCAAAGTTTGAATGATCACGCTCAAAAGCAGCAATACCAAAGAAAATTGGAGAATGAGAACAAGACCCGCTTGAGTGTCAAAGTGATTCTGCTTAGTAGTGAATCTCAGAGACATAGTCTTGTCCCAAATATTGCTTTGCCATTTTACTTGTTTATTATATATCATATTTACTGTTTGTTTATTTACTTATTGATAAAAAATTTAATTTATTTATGTCCATAAGCTTTCTTTAATTATCTTTAATTATATTATAAACTAGCTTACCCGTCGCACATTGCTGCGATCTCAGAAGAAAGGAAATTCAAGCAAACTCGTTATGATAAAATTAAATTTACATTTTATCATTTTCATTGAAACTTATTATTATTATTCATTTTTATCGGGAAAACATTTCAAAGTGTCGTTTCAATTTTATTTATTTATTGGAGTGCTTTGTGGATACACGATATCTTTTGTTTTTCCATCTGGTGCGTACATGAATAAATCAAAAGGTTTTTCGACGCGTGAGTTGGCCACATACAGTTGTCCAAGCGAGAAGCACGGATTCTTTAAATTTAGCCCACATACTCGCAGAGATTGTTAGAAGTGCGATATTCCCTATTTTTATATATATTTTTTAATCCTTCATAATTTTGATTATTTAATTGCTCCTTCCTCTCTTCCTTGGCGTGTTGTGAAATTTCAGATAGTTGGATAATAAACCGTTTTATTGTGATTTGTCTTTTTAAATTATTTTGAGTTGATATTAAAATTTGGAAAAGGGGGATCCCTAGATCGGTAAAATAGGCGAATTTCCTTCTACAACTTCGGTTGTTGTTCATGATACAGTTAAGGCTTTAACAAAGTTTGAGCGATTATGTAATTAGCAAAAAAAAAAAGTTGAAATAAAGTGATTAAACAAAAATTATAACAAATATCATAAATAATAAATGCATATATAGAGATATTTTTTGGAGGGGGAAATGGTCTTCACAATTTGAAATCGAATGAACACACTGTGCTCGAATGCTCGTGTAAACGCTCGCCATCTATTGTAGGGTAAATGCCAGAAACGGGAGTGTATTAAAAAAAAACTTTCCAAAGCTTCATGGCAATCGTACTACGCTACAAACCTTCACTGGAGTATATTAAACAACTTCCCAAAGTTTCACGGCAATCGGATAAACGGTGTGGTAATGCATGAAGGACACACACACATACATTCATTTTTATATATATAGATAAGTTATTTAATAAATGTAATTATTTTTAACATTCATTATTGATTTTGTTGTTAAATTTCTTTCTACTGAAATCAGATGAAAAGTTAAAAAGCAATTTTCTGTATAACTTATATATATTATACATATTATAATACATATAAAATATAAAATGCCGCAGCAACCGATGTACACGCCAAGCTGCAAAATGCCACATTAATCAAACAATCCTGGTAAACTGACCACATCAGGACTCTAGAAGCTTTAGAAATCTACAAATCAGATTTGACAGGCAATTGCATTAACTTTGAAGATGGAAAAAGTATCTCATATGCTGGCGATGTTTTTATGAAAAACTGGGCAATACCAACAGAAATTAGTTAATGTTATTTTTTTTATATGTTTAGTTATTACAGGTATCCCTTAATTAATGTGGTTAAGTAATCCCTCAATGCTATTGTGTATATCAAAAGCACATTAATCAAATATGATTTCTATTTTAAGTAAAGAGAGTTGGTAAAGCTGCATTAATTAAAACTTGTGCCACCTATATTAAGGGATTGCCACAATTAATTTCACACATTAATCAAATTTTGTGTTAACAAGATATACCTGTATATTTGTATCTGTTTTAATTTTATACATTTTATTAGGCAACCAAATCTTTATTTATTTAATTTTATTTTATATAGTTCTGTACATTTCAATTTAGAATGTTGTTGACATGAAGCAGATCTTGTGTAAAATTGAAAACGTTTGTCAAATTTACATTAAATTATTTACCGGATTGTGAAGATTTTGATTGGTGTATTAATTATAGTACAATAACTATAACTAATACACCAGTCAAAACCGTCACAATCCAGTTAACAGGAAGAAGTTAATTTCATTGTATAATAATATAATAATACATATTGTGTTATTAAGAAATTACAAATATTTAGCAGCAGTTACTCAGTTTCCTTCGTAAAATAATACACATTGACAAGATTATTTTAAGAATGGTCAAAATATGTTTGGGGAAGTTGCATGTTGTTTATTATTTATGATTCAGTCACTTTGAAAATGAGAAATAAGCTCTTCCAATAGGTAACATTGCAGATGTGAATGGTTCTGTTGGGACCTTAACAGAGCTGGTCAACCTTAATAAACAAATAATAATATTTAACTGTCCAAAACTAATTTCAACTGTTGTTAAAAATATATCTCAGATAACTGACTCTTGGATTATATTACTAAAAAAAATATTAATATATTGGTAATATTGTATAATTTCTTAAACATTTTTGGAAGCATCCAGAGTAGTTATAAAGCTAAGATCCAGAAGTGACAAGGATTACAACTTTAATAAAAGAAGAAAGCAAAGTTATACATTTAGAATCTTTTATTTCATGTAATATTTATGTTAAATAAAAAATTCTAAATGTTGTAATTATTATTGAATTATCTCCTTACAGTTATTTTTATTAAAGATTATGTTCAAAAAATATTATTTGTAATCATTCTAGTAAAATGCATCCTGTTATTAAATATATTTCCTGAAATATAAAACTATATATTTTTACTGTAATATTGGCAAGTATTAAATTTCAAAGGAATGAATGATATACATAATGTTAATGAATCCAATAGCTTCTGAAAATGGAAGACAAAATTAATCAAACCATTTTTGTGCTTACAAAGTTAATTTGTGTGGAATTCAATTAAAATAAGAGCAAAAGTAAATTTTAGATTTAAGTTAATGATTGTTAGAGAAGAGAAATTTGTAGACTAATACTGCATTTGCCCATTTTCGTTTACCCAAATAATTAAAATTCATTAAGAAAACTCAGGATTATACAGCTTAGATAAATTCCACAGGACCAATCTAAACAACAGAATTTTAATCAAGATTTTAAAATTTTTTTAAATTAACTTTTTTTCTTTTTACACTTCCTAATTAAAATTCTTTTATAGATTAATTTTTAAATTCTTTTTATAAAAAATGTGAAGTAATATCAAAGTTAGCAGATATTTTCTTATACAGGTTTTATAATATAGATTAAGATTTTTTTCTTTTTCTTTGTTTGTTACATAAATATATAAGACTGTTTATTAGTGTTCTTATTAATGACATATATGTTTTTGTCCTCGTGATGGACAAAATTTATTAAAATTGTTAATGAGTCAGATTAATATAATCATTATGTTTCATTAGTTATTTTGATTATGATAAATTTTAAGAGTAATGTTTAAATCTCAAACATAACTGAATTATTTTTTACACTTAGTGGTCCAAGTGACAACCCGTTCTACAGTACGATTGACTCAATGCCTGATATTCGGCCTAGTAGAAAACCAATACCTCTGGTTAGTGAGCTGGTAAGTACAAACACAGAAAATTTTTTAATCTTGTAAAAACAATAAATTATTTAAAAAAGTAAATAAAACATAAAATTGTTGATACTTATAGTTATAATCATGACCATTAAGAGCTTGTATTAGGCCTAGGTAAAGTAGACCCCTTTAGCCATTTTTTTTTTTTTATTGAACAAAGGAAAACATGTTTTTTTATTAATAAAAAGCAGTTTTAAAGATTTTAGTTTTTTAATGAAAATAACATTGATTTTATAGAGATAGGAGCCACTATGGACCCTTATGTTTTCTCTGGGCCTGGGGAAAAATCTTCAGCTTTCGCTCCCTCTTGATTGTCCTGGTTATAATAAAAAATATTGCTCACTTATGCAGCTACTGTCTAATATGATAGTTATATTGGTCTCACTCATTGACGAAATGTTTGAAAAGAACTTTTACTTACACTTTACACCAATTATTCAGGAATAACATACTAAACAGCATTTAAATACAAAAGGTACATGCAAACACTTTTCATGTATCTTTGTCTTCATCAGATAAGAAATTCTTTTTTAAAACAGAAATATCAAACAGAATTTCTTTTAAATCAAAGAACATACATTTAAAATATTTTTTCACATGTACAGTACATAAAACATAAAATCATAAAAATGTTCATTATGTTCATTAAAGATGGTCAGGATCAGAGCACCTAGTACAAACTATAAATAATAAATTTAAAATAATTATTCTATTTATTTTTCTGTTAAACTATGGATAAATATTTTAAAATTGCAGAAATAAATTTTTCAAAAATATCAAAGATTGTTTTATTAAAAATTATTAATAGTTTTTACATAAAACAATGTGTTATATAACAATGTTTTGATATTAACATAGTTATTGCCACATTTTTAATTAAAACACTTTGAACTTATACATGTAAATTTTCTTTGACAATGAATTAGTATATAAGAACGTACACTAACTATATTTATTATAAAGCAAAATCATCAAAAGAAAAAATTACATTTTTCAAAAATAAATTTGATTCATTGATCTTTAGGAAACTACACTGAAGGGCAAAAGTTAAGTTACAAGTAGTTTTTGCCTCATAACTTTTGAAGTAAAGCACCAAAACATTTTGAAAATGTAGACATATATGCAAATTTACATAACGAATAAGAAAATAGCAAAATATCTTGTCAATATGCAAATGTGTTTAATTCAACCTTTAGTCAAAGGAGTGTTCTAACTGAAAAAGTTAATTCAAAGTCAAAGGAGTGTTCTAACCAGTAAACCACTTTAGTGGTTTACTGGTTAGAACACTCCTTTGACTTTGCTGTTTTTTGTAATCAAATTTTATTTAAACTGCTTTTTTTTAATTAAGGCATATTCATTACCATTCTAATGGCTTCTAGGCAGTGTTTAGATGATTCTTTAAGATGGCATGCTAGTGGATGGATGGAAATGGGGCTTAGTCAAGCTGATGCAGCAAGGTGCCTAAAAGTTTCAAGAATGGTGGTTTCATGGCTCTGGAAACAGTTTACAGTTAGAGAGGATATCTCCAGAATTCCTGTGGAAGGACGTCCAAGAGTTACTACACCGCAAGATGACCGGTTTTTGAAAGTAACTGCCAAACACAATAGAGGACTAACACACAGGATGCTTGCTTCTGAGCTTGAATCAGCCACAGAAAAAAGAATTTCTGTCGGAACTGTATCCAGAAGGCTTGCTGCTGTTGGTCTTTATGCAAGACACCCAGCTGTGTGTATTCCATTGTCATCGTTCCACAAAAAAGAGCGTTTGAATTGGAGTTGTCAACATCAAGACTGGACAGACCACAACTGGAGCAAAGTTCTCTTCACAGATGAATCCCGCTTTAGCCTACAGAGTGATTCTCGATGATGCTTTATCTGGAAAGAGGCTGGAACACGATATACGCCATCAAACATAAGAGAAAAAGACAACTTTGGCAGAGGTGATGTGATGGTCTGGGCAGGCATCTCTCTCACTGGGTGCACTGAGCTCCATGTCTTTGAAGGAGGTTCTTTAACAGGTCAAAGGTATCACAATGAGATCCTCAAGCATTATATTCATCCAATGGCTCACACAGAAGGCACAGATTTCATTTTAATGGATGATAATGCTTGTCCCTATAGAGTGAACTTGGTGACTCAGTATCTTCAAGATGTTGGAACCCAAAGAATGGACTGGCCATCCAGGTCTCCAGATTTGAACCCGATAGAGCATGCTTGGGATGCCCTTGGAAAACGAGTGGAAAGTCTATGTCCCCCACCCAGAAATCTTGATGAGCTCAGGACTGCTCTCCAAAGAGAATGGACTTTTCCTAATGAATTGATCAATAACCTTGTAAAGAGTATGATAAGCAGTTGTGTAGTATGTATTGCTGTAAGGGTCACATGCTCTATTGAGTGAATAAATTTGTTATTTTAATAAAGTTTCTATTTTATTTTAAATTAAGAATATAAAAAAACACTTGTAACTTAACTTTTGCCCTCCAGTGTAGTATAATTTTCAGTCAAATATTTGACATTTAATCAGTATAATTTGTTAATTGAGTTGTTACAAGTTGAGGATAGTCAGATGTTTAGTTGAAAACATTTTTTTAGTAAAAATGTTGACTGCTTGAACAAAATAGCCATATTTTGTTGTTCATGTATCAATAGAGTGCCAATTTTTGCAAATTTTTTAACCATTGTTGCCAAATTTGCATTATTTATTCAATATATGACAGTATCATTCTATGCCATTCCTTTAGAATGTCTGATAATATTTTATCAGTTTAGAAACCATTAATCATTAATTTCTGATTTTGTTAGTTGTATAATTAGTGGATATTGTTGCCAACATTCAATAATTATACAATAAAATATGAATAAATAATAATTGTATAGGTACCAGTACATTGATATAATATTTAATATATATTTTGAATTAAAACACAAAAGTTCAGTTTATTTATGTTAACACCAAATTATTGCAGTGTTTTTGTTAATTTATTTTTATATTATATTCCTTTTTAGATTAAATTTTATAAATAATAATGAACATTTTAAAATGAAAATTAATGAAAATGAAATAAATAAACATTATAAATTTGTATATTTGTATTTTAACAAAATTTGAATTTAATATTTTACTAATTTATGAGATTGTAATTTTCAATAATTTTATTGCAAATAATTTTTTTATATATTGTTTGAGAGTTTATAAATACAAGATGTGATCAAACATTTAGTTGTGTTAATCTATAAATATTAAGCAGTAAATCAGTAATAAATATGTAAAAGTCACAAAACATCACTTAGCAGAAATTTTTATAATTTCTGCTATGTGATGTTATGTGCCTGTCATTAAATCAAATTCCAAAACTTAATAAATTTAACTTTAATATAGTTCTAAAATAATATTGCAACTTTGACCAGCTCTGTTGCTAGCAGGAAAAGTATGATGTACAGGGGCAAGACACTACTGATTTGAGATGGAGAGCATATATTTTAAATTAAATTAATTAGAAATATGGTTAAAAATTACAGCCTTGTTTGTTTATGATGCTCTTTTTAATAATTGACAAAAATACTCTCATAGGCTATTGTTATCTAATATAATAAATTAATTTAAATTTAAATTCAGAACCTTGTTTCTAAAGACAAAGAATTAGAGCTGGAAATTTTATTTATTTATCTTGAGAATAAGTAAAACCAATAAAATTCAGAAGACCATAGATTTCTTAATTCTAATTAGATATGGGGTCTAAAAATTTATCTGATATTATTTTAAAAATTAGAACTATGGTTTCAAAATTAACATTTTTTAAATAAAACTGAAAAGTATTAGAATCAAAACTAAAATCATTTATATTTAAATATCTAATATGAAATCAGAATGTATTTTAAATAAGTTTCAGCTTTTCTCTGACTGACTTGACTACCTCAAAATAAACAATAAATGATGAGCAATTTTATATGATTTCAGATAGATTTTAAATTATATATTATCAAACATGACAGGCTTACTGAAAGAAATAACTTAAAAATATTTTACCAATTGAAATGATGATTGATTTGTTTTATAACGCTTGGTATCAACACATAAGGACATGTGTTTAGTCTTAATTTTACCTACTAAGAATGGATTTGATCTGCAATGGGATTGGTGTGAGTAGAAATACCATATTGATAGATGATTGTATATATTACTGTTTGTTTTAATTAAATATTTTGAAATAGATTAATGAAATAAACATACTTCACTTAAAAAAAGCTATTATTAAATAAACTTTTACATATTATTTTGATCACATCTTGTAAATTACTTTGTGGTGTTATAAGTGTTATTTGCTGATGCGTATTTTCTTTCTGCCGTGCTTTCCTAATGGTGAAGGTGCTCAAGGTACTAATTTCCTTCTTTCTTATTCATTTCTAAAGTTTAATTTTTTTTATTATTCTAAAGTTTGTGTAGTTTAGCTTTTTTCAAATTTATTCTTAATATATAATTTTTCTTCTATTGTATTCTAAATTTAATATTTATATATATATATATAACTACAATATTTTTACATGTAATCTGTTAAAATTGAAGTAATTTGCATGAATGCATGATATTATGGTCATTATTTATCTTTGTATTTGTCTAATAATTTAATTAAAAACTTAATAAAGAATCCTTTGTTAAGAATATTTGTTTCTTGATGTAATTTGTATGAAGTACATAATTAAGAGCATTAATTTTATTAAACTTCAAAGATAATAATTAATAAAAGTAAAGTGTATTAGAAATTAATATATACATTGAATATTTTAAAGTGCTAAAATTTCTGAATATTTATAAAAATATTATTTTTTACATTTTTAAAAATTAAAATAAGCATGCCATTTACAATATAACTTTTTACAATATTTATTAAAATAACTTTTGTAATTATTTATTTTAATTTTCTATAATAGACAATGGCAGCAACAAAAAGGAACGCTGGGTTGACTTCTGCGGTTCCACGCCAATCTCTCAACGATGAAGAATTAGTAAGTTGATATTATGTTATATTATTATAATTTTGATATGATTTAAAGAGTAATTTGAAAATTGAAGCTAATATTGTTTAATAAATTTTGAGAAATTATATTAAGAAATTATGAAAAAACATTGCTTTTTTCTAACATTTGTTTCATTCAAAATGAAAATATGTACAGTTTGAATCTTAATTAATTTAGTCATAAACTACAAATACATATATTCACTTCCCAATTTTTAAATTTAAATAATAATAATTTCAATTCAGGCTGGTTTTCTTGAAGTGAAAACTTTGTAGAAAACTTTAATTTTTTCCAGTGTTACACCTATGCATCAGGAAATATTAAGGAAAAGTCTTAAAGTTTTTTCAGAAATTTTTGTTTCAAGAAAAATAGTTTGAATTGGATTTATGTTTCAAGAGCTTTCTTAACAAGTGTGTTGTTATAATATTGCATATAATCCAATTAAAATTTTTTCTATCTGAATTAATTGTTTAGCATAAGTTATAAGACACAAGAAATTAAGTTGAGCAGAAAATTAAACATTTAGTCTATCTTTTGAAACTGTGAAAACTAGATTTGCATAGTAAATGTATCCGGCTATAATTATAATATGTCTTAGCCTGAATAATTAATTTTAAATAATTTAGTTATGAACTTTAAATATGTTGAGTTGGTATCTTGCTTGAAAGTTTTTTGAGAACAGACATACAAAAAAATAAACAGATAAAGAATAGCTTTATATAATTTAACATAGAAGATCTTACACATAATGTATCAAGTACTGCTCAAAGTAGAAAATCTGCTCACAAATTGGTGTAAAAACTGCAATTTTACATGATTGTGAAATGACTGTCAAAGCAGAAAACTTGCAAGTGCTATGTGAAATGGCATCCACCTGTTTTCTAAATTGCAAAAGATAATTGTAAAACTAGTTTACAAAATTTATCATAACTGTAGACAAAGATTTTTAATTAGTTGACATTATAAATAAAATTTTAATTTTGAAAACCTATAACATTAGAACAATATTTAAATTTAGAAATTTACAGTTTTACAGGAGAGACATTTTTAATAAAGTAGATACAATATTTACTAGCATTTAAGAGCCAGCATTTATTAACTGGAATTCCAAAGCACATTAGTTGATGGAGGAAAAAATTTTGAAAACTTGAATTTTAATAATAATGTTGTTAAGTAATCAATTTATAGTTTGTCACAAGTAGATATAATGTTCTTACTGTAAGCAGAAGTTCTAAACTGTAAGCTAATTTATAAGTTTTTAGTTTTTATAATCTTTCTCTATTAATTTTTATGCATTCATTATTATGTAAGTATCTATAAATCTTCTTTTACTGTTCTGTTATCATAGATTTTCTTCTTTTCAACATGCAAACTTCTTCTCAAGTTGCTTGTTTGATTTTATTTGTATCTTCTATTAGATACTTGGTTCTTTTTTGTTGTTTTTATTGTTGTGCAATTCATTTATTTAATTTATTTTTTTGAATTTATATATTAAAAACTATCAGTTTAAGCTGCTGTAGAATGGCACAAAGAACTGTGTTCATATTCTACTTCATGCTACTCTTCTCTTTATTCTGCCTCCTTTATAAAAAATTACATAATTTTAAATGTAATTTTCTTATTTGTTCTGCTTTTCTTCAAAAAAAAAAAAGAGACAAATTTTAGAAAAATAACTTAAATCTATATTCTGAATATCTACGCTATAAAATACTTGCTTTTATATCTAATAACTTTTATATATTCCAAAATTTATCATGTTAATCAAAAAGAATTTTTTTAAAGAATCATAACTTTTAATTAAGTGCTTTCTCAATTGTCAAACTTCATTGAAAACTTTTTTATATGAAATTAGAGATGAGATAAATATTAAGCACATAAGTTCTTTAAGTAAGACTACAATTAAGTTTGGCATAATATTTTTTTCTCAAACTGGGACAATTTTGAGAAAATAGTCACAACAGAAAATAAAGCCTACTAGGATAAGTACCTATGATTGAAAAGGCTAAATAAAGAAGCTGTTAACAAAAAACAACAATGAGTTAAAAGCAATTTTTAATAATGCAACTGAACATACGCTATTATTAAGAAGTTATTAATATTTATCATTAGTGTAAACTTTATTTAAAAATTTTATGTTATTTCAATGGCATTGAAATTTAATGCAATTTAAATCAGTACCTTTAAAATATGACAATCTATTTGAGGAAGTTCCTTTCTATTGTTACTAGGCTTGCCTTATGTTTCACACATTCAAGTGATTTTTTTTATATGTTCAAATGCCTACCATGAGATACTGAAAATTCTGAAAAGCACAGTTCACATTTCACTTTGTCAATACAATCACAAACTTTTTTCAAAAACAAAAAAAAAATTTTTTAATTTATCAGTAAACACACAATTTCTTTTTGGCATTTTTAAGATTAAATTAATTTAATGCACAGTACAAAATAATCTCAAAAACCAATTAGTAATTTGAACTTAACTAAGATAAGACATGCAGAACAATGATGTGCCAGTGTAAGTTTCAGAGTTGCCAACTCTAATGGAAACAAAATATCTAAAAAATGATATAAAAACATCTGGATCTCATAGGCTCCATGCTATTATAAATTCTGTAAAAAAATATTTAGATAAAAAATAAAACATCTAAATTCATTAGGTCACATGATATAGATTTTGGGGGAACATCTAGACAGCATTAAAAGTACTGGTATTTAGATCTAGATACAAAATAATTAGATTGGCAATAGTGAGTATAACAGAGGGGATATTTTAGTTGCCAAATTGCCATTTTATCTGAGGCTGCACTATTTTTACTTCTTATATATTCGGCACTTTTTAAAATTTTATCAAATAACAGAGACAAAATGACAAACTGGCTGGGACACAGGACAGTCCCAGTCAAAGTGGGATGTCTGGTAGCCTAACTACAATGATATACAATGTAGTTCTAGTTAATAAATTTTCAGATAATCTTAGGAACAATATCCACCAAATTTGTTGTCGTCAATGTCTTTTGCAATATCATTGCCTTACAGCAAGCCATACACATGTTTTACAATACTAAAACAGCTTGCAGAACCAAAACATGCCAGTAAATAATCACAGACATAAGGACTAATGTTTTTATCCTTTTCATAGATCATCTTTAGGTGAAAGGTTTTAATTGGAATGCTTTTCAAATATCATTGCAATCGATGCATTTCGAATATCATTACTTTTTTTGAGTATGTTCTGTTTTTTGAATGCATTTATAACTTTAATTTAAATTCAGTGTGAGACATTGATAGCTTAAAAATAATAATAATTGATAACCTGCATGAAATGTCACTAAGTAAATTTCTAAAAACATTTTTTATGGAATATTCTCTGAATAATTTTGCTTTAATTACCTATTCTCTACAAAAACAATTGGCTGAACATAACTATGATATCAACAACAAGAAACCCATTACTGTCCTGTATATTTATGCCTTTGATAATGACATCCAGGCCAGTCTACAGAATGTCTCCATCATTAGGCAAACTAGGCAATTGGATAACATCAGAGCTCTTGAGGCACTGGAAATTTATAAAGCCAAAAAGAAAGGGAACAGTATTAATTTCAAAGATGAGAAACAGTTGTCCTATATTACTTTAGAAACTGTAATCCAATGCAATTATAACAAAGATTAAAGCAAAATTATTCATATACCAGGGCGTCGGAGTCAAAGTCATGGAGTTTTGGTGTTTTGGCCAGAGTCGGAGTCGCCGACTCCGACTTCCTTTTTACTTACCAACTTGTTATGTACATGAAACGGAGTCGGATGGTAAGGAAGAGTCGGAGTCAAATGGTAAGGAAGAGTTGGAGTCAGTAGATTTTTACACGACTCTGGCCCTGGAATATACCATAAAAAATGCTTTTAGAAATTTATTTAGAGACATTTTGTGCATGTTATCAATTATTATTATTATTTTGTGTTGGGTTTAGTGGGTTATACTCGGTACACACCGGTGGCTGTGTACTATGCCGGACCAGAGTCAAGGCATAGCAACCAAAAACAAAAATTAAATAAGTGTGTCAGTGTCTGTATTCAGGAATTTCCTAACAATATGGCATGTATTCAATATAGTGGCCTTCTGTAGTGTGATGTATGTATTTCTACTCAATTGTAATNTGCCGCAGCAACCGATGTACACGCCAAGCTGCAAAATGCCACATTAATCAAACAATCCTGGTAAACTGACCACATCAGGACTCTAGAAGCTTTAGAAATCTACAAATCAGATTTGACAGGCAATTGCATTAACTTTGAAGATGGAAAAAGTATCTCATATGCTGGCGATGTTTTTATGAAAAACTGGGCAATACCAACAGAAATTAGTTAATGTTATTTTTTTTATATGTTTAGTTATTACAGGTATCCCTTAATTAATGTGGTTAAGTAATCCCTCAATGCTATTGTGTATATCAAAAGCACATTAATCAAATATGATTTCTATTTTAAGTAAAGAGAGTTGGTAAAGCTGCATTAATTAAAACTTGTGCCACCTATATTAAGGGATTGCCACAATTAATTTCACACATTAATCAAATTTTGTGTTAACAAGATATACCTGTATATTTGTATCTGTTTTAATTTTATACATTTTATTAGGCAACCAAATCTTTATTTATTTAATTTTATTTTATATAGTTCTGTACATTTCAATTTAGAATGTTGTTGACATGAAGCAGATCTTGTGTAAAATTGAAAACGTTTGTCAAATTTACATTAAATTATTTACCGGATTGTGAAGATTTTGATTGGTGTATTAATTATAGTACAATAACTATAACTAATACACCAGTCAAAACCGTCACAATCCAGTTAACAGGAAGAAGTTAATTTCATTGTATAATAATATAATAATACATATTGTGTTATTAAGAAATTACAAATATTTAGCAGCAGTTACTCAGTTTCCTTCGTAAAATAATACACATTGACAAGATTATTTTAAGAATGGTCAAAATATGTTTGGGGAAGTTGCATGTTGTTTATTATTTATGATTCAGTCACTTTGAAAATGAGAAATAAGCTCTTCCAATAGGTAACATTGCAGATGTGAATGGTTCTGTTGGGACCTTAACAGAGCTGGTCAACCTTAATAAACAAATAATAATATTTAACTGTCCAAAACTAATTTCAACTGTTGTTAAAAATATATCTCAGATAACTGACTCTTGGATTATATTACTAAAAAAAATATTAATATATTGGTAATATTGTATAATTTCTTAAACATTTTTGGAAGCATCCAGAGTAGTTATAAAGCTAAGATCCAGAAGTGACAAGGATTACAACTTTAATAAAAGAAGAAAGCAAAGTTATACATTTAGAATCTTTTATTTCATGTAATATTTATGTTAAATAAAAAATTCTAAATGTTGTAATTATTATTGAATTATCTCCTTACAGTTATTTTTATTAAAGATTATGTTCAAAAAATATTATTTGTAATCATTCTAGTAAAATGCATCCTGTTATTAAATATATTTCCTGAAATATAAAACTATATATTTTTACTGTAATATTGGCAAGTATTAAATTTCAAAGGAATGAATGATATACATAATGTTAATGAATCCAATAGCTTCTGAAAATGGAAGACAAAATTAATCAAACCATTTTTGTGCTTACAAAGTTAATTTGTGTGGAATTCAATTAAAATAAGAGCAAAAGTAAATTTTAGATTTAAGTTAATGATTGTTAGAGAAGAGAAATTTGTAGACTAATACTGCATTTGCCCATTTTCGTTTACCCAAATAATTAAAATTCATTAAGAAAACTCAGGATTATACAGCTTAGATAAATTCCACAGGACCAATCTAAACAACAGAATTTTAATCAAGATTTTAAAATTTTTTTAAATTAACTTTTTTTCTTTTTACACTTCCTAATTAAAATTCTTTTATAGATTAATTTTTAAATTCTTTTTATAAAAAATGTGAAGTAATATCAAAGTTAGCAGATATTTTCTTATACAGGTTTTATAATATAGATTAAGATTTTTTTCTTTTTCTTTGTTTGTTACATAAATATATAAGACTGTTTATTAGTGTTCTTATTAATGACATATATGTTTTTGTCCTCGTGATGGACAAAATTTATTAAAATTGTTAATGAGTCAGATTAATATAATCATTATGTTTCATTAGTTATTTTGATTATGATAAATTTTAAGAGTAATGTTTAAATCTCAAACATAACTGAATTATTTTTTACACTTAGTGGTCCAAGTGACAACCCGTTCTACAGTACGATTGACTCAATGCCTGATATTCGGCCTAGTAGAAAACCAATACCTCTGGTTAGTGAGCTGGTAAGTACAAACACAGAAAATTTTTTAATCTTGTAAAAACAATAAATTATTTAAAAAAGTAAATAAAACATAAAATTGTTGATACTTATAGTTATAATCATGACCATTAAGAGCTTGTATTAGGCCTAGGTAAAGTAGACCCCTTTAGCCATTTTTTTTTTTTTATTGAACAAAGGAAAACATGTTTTTTTATTAATAAAAAGCAGTTTTAAAGATTTTAGTTTTTTAATGAAAATAACATTGATTTTATAGAGATAGGAGCCACTATGGACCCTTATGTTTTCTCTGGGCCTGGGGAAAAATCTTCAGCTTTCGCTCCCTCTTGATTGTCCTGGTTATAATAAAAAATATTGCTCACTTATGCAGCTACTGTCTAATATGATAGTTATATTGGTCTCACTCATTGACGAAATGTTTGAAAAGAACTTTTACTTACACTTTACACCAATTATTCAGGAATAACATACTAAACAGCATTTAAATACAAAAGGTACATGCAAACACTTTTCATGTATCTTTGTCTTCATCAGATAAGAAATTCTTTTTTAAAACAGAAATATCAAACAGAATTTCTTTTAAATCAAAGAACATACATTTAAAATATTTTTTCACATGTACAGTACATAAAACATAAAATCATAAAAATGTTCATTATGTTCATTAAAGATGGTCAGGATCAGAGCACCTAGTACAAACTATAAATAATAAATTTAAAATAATTATTCTATTTATTTTTCTGTTAAACTATGGATAAATATTTTAAAATTGCAGAAATAAATTTTTCAAAAATATCAAAGATTGTTTTATTAAAAATTATTAATAGTTTTTACATAAAACAATGTGTTATATAACAATGTTTTGATATTAACATAGTTATTGCCACATTTTTAATTAAAACACTTTGAACTTATACATGTAAATTTTCTTTGACAATGAATTAGTATATAAGAACGTACACTAACTATATTTATTATAAAGCAAAATCATCAAAAGAAAAAATTACATTTTTCAAAAATAAATTTGATTCATTGATCTTTAGGAAACTACACTGAAGGGCAAAAGTTAAGTTACAAGTAGTTTTTGCCTCATAACTTTTGAAGTAAAGCACCAAAACATTTTGAAAATGTAGACATATATGCAAATTTACATAACGAATAAGAAAATAGCAAAATATCTTGTCAATATGCAAATGTGTTTAATTCAACCTTTAGTCAAAGGAGTGTTCTAACTGAAAAAGTTAATTCAAAGTCAAAGGAGTGTTCTAACCAGTAAACCACTTTAGTGGTTTACTGGTTAGAACACTCCTTTGACTTTGCTGTTTTTTGTAATCAAATTTTATTTAAACTGCTTTTTTTTAATTAAGGCATATTCATTACCATTCTAATGGCTTCTAGGCAGTGTTTAGATGATTCTTTAAGATGGCATGCTAGTGGATGGATGGAAATGGGGCTTAGTCAAGCTGATGCAGCAAGGTGCCTAAAAGTTTCAAGAATGGTGGTTTCATGGCTCTGGAAACAGTTTACAGTTAGAGAGGATATCTCCAGAATTCCTGTGGAAGGACGTCCAAGAGTTACTACACCGCAAGATGACCGGTTTTTGAAAGTAACTGCCAAACACAATAGAGGACTAACACACAGGATGCTTGCTTCTGAGCTTGAATCAGCCACAGAAAAAAGAATTTCTGTCGGAACTGTATCCAGAAGGCTTGCTGCTGTTGGTCTTTATGCAAGACACCCAGCTGTGTGTATTCCATTGTCATCGTTCCACAAAAAAGAGCGTTTGAATTGGAGTTGTCAACATCAAGACTGGACAGACCACAACTGGAGCAAAGTTCTCTTCACAGATGAATCCCGCTTTAGCCTACAGAGTGATTCTCGATGATGCTTTATCTGGAAAGAGGCTGGAACACGATATACGCCATCAAACATAAGAGAAAAAGACAACTTTGGCAGAGGTGATGTGATGGTCTGGGCAGGCATCTCTCTCACTGGGTGCACTGAGCTCCATGTCTTTGAAGGAGGTTCTTTAACAGGTCAAAGGTATCACAATGAGATCCTCAAGCATTATATTCATCCAATGGCTCACACAGAAGGCACAGATTTCATTTTAATGGATGATAATGCTTGTCCCTATAGAGTGAACTTGGTGACTCAGTATCTTCAAGATGTTGGAACCCAAAGAATGGACTGGCCATCCAGGTCTCCAGATTTGAACCCGATAGAGCATGCTTGGGATGCCCTTGGAAAACGAGTGGAAAGTCTATGTCCCCCACCCAGAAATCTTGATGAGCTCAGGACTGCTCTCCAAAGAGAATGGACTTTTCCTAATGAATTGATCAATAACCTTGTAAAGAGTATGATAAGCAGTTGTGTAGTATGTATTGCTGTAAGGGTCACATGCTCTATTGAGTGAATAAATTTGTTATTTTAATAAAGTTTCTATTTTATTTTAAATTAAGAATATAAAAAAACACTTGTAACTTAACTTTTGCCCTCCAGTGTAGTATAATTTTCAGTCAAATATTTGACATTTAATCAGTATAATTTGTTAATTGAGTTGTTACAAGTTGAGGATAGTCAGATGTTTAGTTGAAAACATTTTTTTAGTAAAAATGTTGACTGCTTGAACAAAATAGCCATATTTTGTTGTTCATGTATCAATAGAGTGCCAATTTTTGCAAATTTTTTAACCATTGTTGCCAAATTTGCATTATTTATTCAATATATGACAGTATCATTCTATGCCATTCCTTTAGAATGTCTGATAATATTTTATCAGTTTAGAAACCATTAATCATTAATTTCTGATTTTGTTAGTTGTATAATTAGTGGATATTGTTGCCAACATTCAATAATTACACAATAAAATATGAATA